GCTACATAGCGCCCTTTGACTCCGTGAAATGAGTTATTTTCTTAGGATTTAGAGAGGAGTTACTTTCCTGTTGTAGAAAAAACACTTAAAGTCGAAGACTTTGAAGCCACCCATAAATGATCTCTTGTAATGCTCAATGATTAATTGAGTTTGGTAAATGAGGAGTTATGCGGCGATTGACATTAATACCACATATGATTATCTTAAATCTTAGCTTATGTTACTGTTTTACATACTCCCGCGTTTACAAATTTAAACGTTAATAATTTCCAAAAAGTGTATTTATTTAGATGTTTTCAACATCTATCGCTGCTTTTACAGCATTCAATTGAAATATCAGCACAATGTGCCTAAAAACAATTGAGCCATTGATAATATCAATGAAAAGCGTCATGATAGTCCATTGTTTTAATTTTTCCTAAAGGAACCGCACTTGGTGATTTCTCACGCATCGCAAGCCTCACGATGATTCATTTGTAAACAAACCAAAGTGCAACGATTTCACGTAACACATGTATATCTGCACACACTCGCAACCGAAAAATATATGAGTATCGCTGATATATGAGCTCGCCCTGAAATACTCCACTCAGTTTTGACATTTATATTTATTTCAACGTGCAGCGGTCTGCCATTCTGGCAATGCAGTTTGAGTTATAGCCAATGGACACGCAAAGGTGGCCAAAACTGCTCCTTCTCCACCTGCATATGTGTATGTACACAAGGGTATACATACACACACATATCTGGAATATGCCGTGGATTCGATGGATGAGCGTGTCGGCGGCCTCGGACTTTTTTCGTCGTTTTTCTGCGCCCGCCAGGAATGCTACGCTACACAAATAAAGTAAAATTAATAATATCGCACTTCAGTGTTTTTTGTTGCCAAAGTTTTTATTGTTTTGCCCTCCCGCTTTCTTTGTGTCCTTTTTTGAGAGAAATTAATGTCAAAGAGCAAAAAAATATTTTCTGGCCCTGTGAAATTGGTATTCTGGTGCGTGTGGCACTGAAAGTTCGACGAATGAAAAATTGCAGGACAGAATGATAAATAACGCAGCTCAAATCGAAGAAAGCTGTAAAAACACCCAAGATATTGCCAATGTGTTCCTTTCCGTTCTGCTGTGGCACAGACTTGCTGAGTTCAAGTCGGCAGATCCTTGGAGATCCTTGGGATAGGTTAATATATACATTACATATATTTATGTAATATATATGTACAGTTGTGGTAACTATAATAGCACCATAAGCACATTTCGTGTTTGTCCCAGCGTTTCTGTATTTTCTGACACTTTTTCATTATTTTACTCACTAAACTTAAATACTGCAATGATTTTCAATCCAAATAACAAAATTAGTAATAGATCTAATGGATATATATATGCACGTAGTCTTAGAACTATATGGTAGAAGTCATTTGGTATCTTTAAAGGCTCTATTAATTCAAAAACATCTTTTTTAAATGGCTTTTTGATTAATATTAGTGTACAACTGTTTTCAACCTAACAAACCGTTTCAGAAAGGATTTATAAGTTTCCTAGAAAGTACTAATCTATAATATATTTATATTCTCGATTTGTCTGTCTCTCCGTCCGCATGTTCATCATTGTTTGGTACAAAGTTGGGACTCCATATGCAAATGCTAGTAACACCTATGCTTCAAAAGATAGTTAGTTGTACATCACACTGACATGACTTAGTTATATATTCAATGTGCACTAGTTCAATGTATCTTATTTATTTATGAATTCGAAACGTCAAAAACTAAATTTAATGGGTGGGCAATCGTTTTTTATTAAAAATATTAAGTTTTTAGGGGTGGGCGACCGATAAAACTATTTTTTAAGGTACAAAATCGTTTTGTATCGAAAAAAGTTCAGTTTCAAATGTTTTAGGCTTAAACTCGTATTAAAAAAATTACCATCCACATATTGAATCCAGCAAAGAGTTGAAAATGATAAATCCTTTGTTGCACAACTATAGCACACGCCCAGTGGCATGCAACAAAAATTGATTTTATTTGAGCCATCTGCTCTCGCCGCCCTCGAATGTGACAGCAAACCGAATTAAATAATGTGGAATTTAAAATTTAATGAAAGGCGCTTTCCTCGGCCGGCACCCCCCTCTTGACCCTTTACACATCCCCTCCCCCTGCGCGCAGCGGGTGGTACCTAGAAACGGAAATGCTGAAACAGTGAAATGTTTCACGCCTTCTTTAACAGAATTTATTAAAAAAGTATTACAAAAGTAGTAGCCCAGAGAGATGAATCGCCCGTTCTATACATAACAGAACATGGTAACCAAAGCACACCCAAAATTGAGAATATGAGCGCTATGTGCAATAACAACAAAACATGCGAGAAGTCAAATCAAAGCACGGAACATCCGCGGGGGGTCAGCGCGGGGCTCACACATCTGCGATACTTTTCTGCTGCGGGAACCAACAACACACCGGCGACAACAACGGAAAATGCCGTAATAATTGTTGCAAAAAGCAATTAGACAAACTAATAAAGCCAAATCCCCTCGTAAGGGGTCTCTGGATTGGTGCGGGGTCGGAGAGGGGAGGGAGTGAGACAGCGAGCCCTCTAGGGTGCGGATGCGGGCGGGAGAGCGAGCGGGACACACGCATAGGCGCAATCCCAATGCCAAACCCCCAATGGCGATGCAAAAACGAGATGGCGATAGTGTGGTGAGCTGCGACGATGTGTTGATGGTGATGCATTCCAGTTGTCGTCGTTGTTGTTGTTTCATTCGCTTGATAGGACACGGTAATAGCAAAACGCAGTGGATGTATTAGTACCCACCACCTAATGGGTGCTTCGATACCTAAATTATCGATTAAATTTGCATCAATATTTTCCCGTTTACTCTCCCAAATAACCACTTAAATAGCACATAGATTACATATGTATATGTTAATTGCGTTGGATCAATTCGGGTCACATTGTATGTGCTTACCATGCTCATTAGGTTGATCCGTGTTTACAGGGTATGCGATCCTCCGAGAACGGGTGAATGGAATTCTCTCTTTCCTACTTCTGAGTTGTGCAACCACGAAAGGCAAAAGCAGAGGTGAATGGAGTGCAAATCAGATTCTAGTTTCGCCCCTAGGCAGGAAAATCCCTAAGTAAGATTCCTTTCAACAATTATATGCCCCTCACCATGCCATGAGCCAAAGTTCAACGTAATTGCGTTCAAAAGTGCGTGTACTTGAGATTTTTTATATTTTCCCCTGTGCCGGGAGTGTTACTCTATTGTTGTCGGCTTTTCGCCGTTGCAAATATGTTTTGAAAGCAAAGTCATGCTGGATCACAATGGCCAGTGAACTACATTCATATATGAATGTATGTACGTAGACCTTTCTAATGCTCAAAAATGAGTTTTCTGAAGTGGCTGTTATTTCTTCGTACGTATAGGCCAAATTGATATGCCTCAGTTGGTAATGAAGTGAGTGGAAAGATATTCGGAAAGAGTGTAGTTGTGGGGGGCCTAAAATCAAAGGGGGAAAGCCGCGTGAAATTAAAAGTATTTCAAAATGGTTCCTTGAATAGATGGCCACAGGTCTAGCTGCGCTTCAACAAGTACTTTCTACAGAGATATTTGGCCTCAGAGGAAAATTATCAGGCTAAAAAGGAAAAGTATCGGTTTTTGCCCTGGTCGGCCTTTTAAGTTGAAACCAAAGGATTAATCGAACGCAGGACTCGTATCATTCTGCCCAAACTCTAGATTATCAAATGCTTGTTGATCTGTAGAGAAATCTCTAGAACAGGTTATTAAAATAACCTGAAATCTGAGCTTCCGATTCCGCGATTGGATTACATAGGCATTTGATTCCGTACAGCTTATTATTATTTTTATTCAATGATTTTTTATTCTATGAATTGCCCTTCCAAGCCGCCGCCGCCCCCAATTACAAGTAATAATAATTTTAATTAAGTGCACCGAGACCAAGGCAGTTGACCAAAACAAAGGCAAGCAAACAAAGAGACAGCCCAGCCATGGAAATGAATCCCGAAATGAGTTGCAAACAAATTACGCCGCAGAAATGGGCTCCAGCGGTGACAAATTACAAGGAAGCAGCCGGCGACGATGAGAAATGAGGACAGGCGGGCGGAGGAGCGCAGCGCTGGACGCCAGACAGGGATGGCGACAGCCGAGTGGTGTGCGAGCGGGAAGGCGTCTTACATGCTCGTGCATGTAGCTTCCTAATGGATTTGGTTGAATTTGGTCAGTGGATAATGCCATCACGTACCGGTAACTAGGAAAGGAGAGGTGATGAATTTCGACCGACATTTGGCCCATGCTGGGAGCAGGGGTCATTGTTTTCAGTGCATTATGTTCAGAATGCCAGGCTGCGCTAAGTTCGCCAGCTTTTATTGCATAATTGCGTATTGTAAAGTGTAAATTGTAAATTGTAAATTGCGAAGAAAGAACAGCTGTCTTCCGAATTCCGCCTAAGACCTCTGCACCTTTGGCACGCGTTGTTCTGCCCACCTTTGGGCTCCATCCAACTGTTTCACTTCCGGAGCCGCTGAAACTGAAACGAGCCAATGCAGTTCGTACTTGACCTATTGGTCGCCCCCGCTGACTTGGCCGCATGCCGGGCTTTTCACATTTTCGCATTTCCACATTTCCAGTTTCGCCACTTCGGGTTGCTCGGGTTTACGCTCAGATTTACATCTGTTTGTATTTTCCTTCCAATTTGCGACCCTTGTCGATGGGCGGTTTGTTGTCCGTTGTCTGTGCCATTTGTGTTATGTTCATAAGCAGCGTTTTCTCAGGTTTTTGTTCAATTAGCAGTTGGCAAACGAAACTATTTCGTTAATGGTTTCCACATCGTAACGAAGGCATACTTCAACAATCACACGTAACCAAAGTATTAAAGTTATAATAAAACTATTATAAATAACACACAAATCGATAGAAATTTACTAGGCAAATAATGTGAGTTCTTATATTTTATAAATGTAAATCACTCCTTACTTGATATTCCCTTCAAGTTCAATCGGGTTCACCTTAATCTAATTGATAATATTATGTGGGATAGCTATATTTTCTAAGCAAGGAAATCAGCAAAATGTTGCAGAAGAATTATTGGGAGCCCGCACGGAGTTTCTACCCGGAAAGCGAGCAGGCGAAAATAAATATCAGACACATGAAATTCACACCGACGTACGAGCGGGAGGAGCCCCAAATGGGACTGATCCTGTCCTGGCACTATGGTCGCCAGTGGGTGGACGAGCGTGACACCCACAAGATGGCGACAGAGAAGAGGGTAAAGAAGAAGGCCAGCTTCATTCCGCCCAACTATACTAGTTGGCTTGAAAAACGGAGGCTTAAAAAGACTAGGCAACAGCTGCTCAGGTCTTGATGTTTTATTTTCGTTCATTCAGTTGTCCAGTTTTTGAATATGAAGTTTTACAAAAATTGTTCCTGGTCTTCACGTTCTGGCTTTCTTTATAAAATTTGTATCTAAATGAGTAAAAATAAAAAAAAATAACAATAGTATGTAATGTATCGCTCTTAATCATTATACAAGAACAATTCGGCATAATGATTAGGAAAGCTTTTTAGATAATAGGTATCTTTAACAGAAAACAGTCAAAAAAAATCATTCACTCTCTCAAGGTGCGACATCTGTTGGAGGAAAGCGAAAGCTCCTAATGGTTTTTGGTAATTTAGTAAAACAATATTTTTTCCGCTTTCTATAACTTTAACTCTGTTATGTCTATTTATACTCTTGTCATAGTTTTCGTAAAAGTAAATAATTGGTACCCAGCTACAAAACGGGCCATTTCTAAGTTATTATTATTATTTTTTTTTTTTTTCAGAGTTTGCTTTATTATCATAAAATATATAATATTTTTATAATATTTTGCTTAAATCTAGCTTAAATATAGTTTACAGAGATTAGATTTTAAGGCATCTTTACAACTGAAAAATGTAAATTATATTTAATATTACAATTTATTGATTCAACGTTTTAAAGCAAGGAAAAAGTGGTACAAAAAACCTTGAAAGTTATTATTAAAATGTACAACTGTTCGTTTCAGTATAACCAGCAGTACCCGACTATTTTTCACAACCAAGTAGCTCCTGACTCAGTAGCTCCATCACACACACAGCTTCAGTCCCAGACAGACTACGTCACAAATCACACAGCACCGACACGACAAGAAAACAATTCCACTCGAGGATGATTTCAAAGATCAAGATCTGGAGCCGTTCGCCGCTGATTCCGGCCAGAGATCACGGCTCAGCGATCCTTCCGCCGGCAGATCGCCCGGAACCCATTCCGGAGCTGTGCGAGGAAAGGCCGGTAATGGGCTGGCTGCTCGGCTGGGAGTACGGCCGGAAGTGGCTGGAGAGGCGCGAGGAGATCCAGCGGCACCGCAACATGGTCAGCAAGTTCGGCAAGATTCCGGCGGACTTCAGCTGGTGGCTCAACCAGCGCAGACCCCTCTTCGTGCGCCTCCAGCGATTCCGGAGCAAGCCAGGACCTCGTCCCCGGAAACAGATCACTGCCTTCGAGATGGCCCAGCGGAGGCGTGAGGCGCAGAACCGCAAGCTAATGGAGAGCCAGCGCAAAAACCAGTAAAACACTTAACATCCAACATGCCCATTGAGGGAAAACTCTGCCAAAATTGCTAAACAACAATTGTAACAATGAACGTAGTGCAACGAATTCGCCATGACGATGCGCCAATAAACGCGGTTAGAATGCTGAACATGGGTCATTTTCTATTGCCAAAATTGCTATTATATAATGAATTGGTTTTTGAACATATCATCAAACACAGCTGTATTCAAATGGATGGCATTTATCCTATATACATTACAAGATCACGTCGTTGTGCGATTCGATTACAGCAAAGAGTGACTTTGACCTCATGTTGGTTCTTTTGATGCGCAATCAACTGCGATACCGAACCCCATTCGTTTTTCCAATCGATTTTCGGTTATGTTAGTAGGCCTTTATTGAGCAATGTTTATTGTTATCCTGTTATCCTTGTGCTTGCAGGCCGAAGTCGCGACGTATGCTCTGAAAAACAAAAGCGCAGCATCCCAGAAACTTCGCCTCAGCCATTTGCTTTTGATTGACTTCCCCCGGGGAAATGTCATGCCCGTAGAACAATGGATCTTACTACACGGGTACTATGCATAGCAGTCGTCACCTCCGTCGTTAAAGTTTTCCGTAATAGTCATCAGGGAACGGGTAAGTGAACAATTGGCCTTGCCCTACTCAAGGCCCGTGGATATTTGTGGGCAGTCATATGCGTACATACCTTTATTTGCATTTCCGCCTCATTGCGCCTAATTGCGCGCAAATGTGGCTTTCAGATCGGCTTTATTGTGTGTTCTTGGTGGCTTTTTAGTCAAATCCTTTGTGCTTTGCTTTTGGCGCGAAAAAATGCTAAAAATGCGAAAATACACGTATTTCTAAGGGGCGTTTACGTTTGCCCACAGCGAATTGCGCATTTAAGTTCGCCTTTTTTCCTCATCTTACCGTCCATTATTTCGGTTTTGAGGTTGCTACACTTTGGGATCACTGAGGAGAGTCAAAGCTGACAATTTCCTACGCCTTAATACAGCCTAACCCTTTTATTTATTAATCAGTTATATTAAACGCGTTAGAAGTGCGATTGTCCCTAGTTACTTTAATACATCAATTTTCCTTAAATGCGCAATGTGTCAGCATATTTCTTCAAGACAACCCCAATAACTTTCTAGTAAAACGAATATAATTGCCTTATCCAATTATGCGGTTACTTATGGAGCCGCTCGCTCACTAATAACCATATATTTTCTTTGTTTATTATAACCCATTAATTCCGCGAGCTTCCCCTTCATTCCCGCATCGATTCGACATTCGCATCGTGTATTTTCAACAACCTTCTAGTTTCGAATAAATTTTGCCACGGAGAATCATTTTCCAGCAGCAAGAACGGGGAAAATGCTTCACACTGTGCTGCAGTTTTCTGTGCATAAATTAATGGAATAGAGTAATGTTCCTGATGATGGTTTCATACGGAGTGGAATGAAGAAGCTGAAAGAAAGGGCTGGGAATGTTGCGATACAACATTAAGTGGCATGGAATAGGAGAAAATGTATGGAAAATCGTGTGGAAAAGGCTAATTAGTGAGTGGTGTTTTCGAAACATACAGTTGAGATTAACCTGTAGGCAAGGCCAAATGAAAGGAAAATGAAATAAATGTATAGATAGTTTCATATGTACCCAATGCGAATACGGAGATATACCTAAAAATAGATCAAATGGTATCGAACATACGGAACCCAATAAAAAAGCGCATATCAATTGAATTGACTATCTCTCAGCCGAAATAGAAATAGAAATTCAATAAAGTTGTACTCTAATTTTCTAGGGAGCAAGCAAACGAAATAACAATTGCATTTGCGGTCGAATGGCCGCTAGGAAACCGCAAAAACTAATTACAAAGCCAAAACAGCCACGGATAAAAACAAAATGGCCGTCGGCCGAAGCGGAAATGAGCTTTCTCCACGTGTGAGTGTGTGTGTGTCTGTGTGTGTGTGACCACAGAACAGATGCTGATTATGGAGATAATTAATACGGCTAATTAAGCCGGCAAATGCAATTCAGAAATTGCACTGGCTAAAGGGAGCGGAAAGAGTTGGAAAACAAGCGAAATTTCAACGGCTCCTGCCACATAAAAGCCAATTAATTATTTTTATGGCTACTCCGGGCCGAGAGCCAACTCCACCAACGGAAGCCGCCAGTCGACGTCTTGGCCCTCCCGTTTTCCCCGGTGCCGGCATAATAAAAAATTATGGCCTGCGATTCGGCTCACTCGAAACGAAGCGAAAGCAACCGAAAAACTGAATACACAGTGCGCCACTGACCAGGCCAAGAACCCTGCCCTCCCCTCCCCTCCCCTCCCATCCCCTCGCATCGCAATGCACAGTAAGTCCTCGGAAAAAGGAAGGTCCTGCTCCCATGCAAGGGCCAAAAAGATGGCGCCGTGCTGCGTACAAAATTGATCAGTGGATTCCCCGCCGTTTGAACTATGACGCGATATGTCATCATATTTCCTCGTTGCAGTTGCACGAACGGAAGGGGAGTGGTCGGGCAGGGGCAGGGGGCGGGGAGCGGAGGGGCGCTTCTTGTTTGCCATGCATATTTCCCACTTTGTCAAACCTTTTGTGCACTGCGCAAGGACGCAACTAAATTGCATTGCAACAGTGAGAGAAAAGAGTGTATGCTTGCATTTAGCTGGGAAGCACTTACATACATTATTTATTTTTTAAGTTATTATACTTGTTTACTTGTATGTATTATGTTAGTATATATTATCTCTCTGTGCACACACCCCTTCGTCGCCCTTCCCTCGCCCTGTTCTATTGGCCATCTCGTATTTAACTGTTCAGCTGGACGGCATTTATTGCCTGGGCTACCGCAAAATCAATTTCGACCCCAACTTACTTGGCCTTTGCTTCAGACCTTCCGGAGGCGCCCCAAACCGCGATTGGGTCTCGTTCGAGGCCAGTCGCACAATCCCACAGCTGTGCTGATGCCGATTTCTCCGCTCATTTTATTGGCCAAGGCAGGAGCCCAAGTAATGGCCGCCGCCGCTCTGGCGCACCTCCTTGCCCCTCGCATTTCATGCCGTTCTGGCCGGTTTTGTTTTTGGCCCAGACTCCCCTTGAAAGTTCTGCTTTGGCTCTGCGTTTGTGGACTTGCCAGTGGCTTCCTTGACTGGGTCTTCGTTCAGATAACTTCTGTGGTGTATAGGTAAATAGTTCGGTTTGAACTTGTTTATACTCCCTCCCCCTATGTTTTTCCCTACCGGATGACAGCATTGCCTTCTGCTTTTCAAGAAAAGGAGCTATACCCTTGCAGTAGTTATATATTTCAACCGAATCAGAACCACTTAGGTCAAGCAACAACGAAAATATGAATTATTTTCCATTATTCCTATGACAATTACTGCCGTATTCCTGTGCTAGCTATATGACAGATGTCAGATACATTTTTAAATTTGGTTCACTTATTATTCATATGACGCCTGTATTATCTAGTCTTCCAATCCGATTCCAAATATGTATAAACATACTACCTGCAATATACAAAAGACTTCTGGAAGATATGCATGCGGGTAGCTTTAAAACAGAGCGACTAGTTTGCTTTAAAACTAATCAAGAATATAGATTCTTCATGTAACTTATGACTTAATTCAATACACCTCTGCAAGGATATAAATTAAGCTACCTGCCGATTTAAGAAACTCTTGATAATCGCAAATTTGTATTAAATAAAAGTTATTTGTTAACTGCAATACCATTTTCAACAGATAGTTTGATACAAAAACTGTGTGTTTAATTGTACATATATAATATTATAATATGTACATGACTTGG